GAACACAGCAAACTCCAAGACCAAGAAACACAGACCAAGACTCCCAAACAATCAGGATGAAGAAAAAAACCATTCTGGCACAGTGTAGGCTAGCATCCAATTTAAAACAGAAACGGCTGTGAAAGTCTGACTCACAGACGAACACTATACAGAAGCCTGATGATGGCAGATGAAATTCTGCCAAAACGTTGCTACAACTTTAAAAGCACAGCTATAATGCCCATGCCCGGTTTAGCAAAAGGGGGAAAAGTCCTGATATGTCATGTGACACTGCCATGATGACCCCCTAGTCTAATCTTTAGAAATCTTTGCTTGTGCAGGGAGCAGGAAAGAATGATATTTCTTCTTTCTCTGTGATGCTCCAGACACACAGCAGTGGTGGGATTCAATTTTTTTTTAAACAAATTTTATTAATTTTAAAGACAAACAAATCACCATTAACCATTACATACTTAAACCTTTTTCCATTATAAATTTTACAAGTCAAATAAAACCTTATTTTATACAATATAATTCTATTTTAAACCATTTCCATATGAGCATACAAATACCTCTTATCCAATTTCTCTTTACTTCTCTTTACTCTTATTCAATTTCACTATTATTATTTCATCTATTTCTTTCTGACTTGGTTACCATTATTCTCATTCTATATTTCTGCAAGGTTTTATTAGTTCTCCCAGAAACATAAACACACAACACACAAACATATAAAAAATCTTTTAGGAAAGTAACTTGGCCCCAGGTACCTCTCTCTACATGGACTTCAATTATATTCATGCTCATCTTACATATCATTACCTATTTTATTTACCATTCTATATCTTCTATATTAGCTTCTCCACACATTTCACTCTTCTTAATTCTATCTTATTTAATCCATCTTAATTTGCGTCATTATATTTGTATCTTTTGTCCATTCTTATTATCCCTCTGTCTCATTCCTTATAATAATAATAAAAAAAAGAATTTCTCCTGAAATCACTAATCAGAGTATGATGCCTTTCTATCTTCCCCCTAAATTAATTAGATTAACATTTAAAATAACACCTAATACCCAATCTGATTCTGCTTGGTACATTCTATCTACTATTTTTTTTTTTAATAAAAGAAAAATAATAAATCCAAAATGATTAAATACATAGTTAAATAATAGATCTAAATATTGAATCTTATAACATTCCCATTGCCTTTTCCAAAAACAAATGCTACTATAATAATTTTATAATAACATCAATACCATAGTCATATTAAACTCTTTAATTAAAACTCAATATTCTAAACATTCCCTTTAATATTTTATTAAATTTTAAAATCAATCATTACTAAACATTTCAACATTTTAATCTCTTATTAACTCTTAAACCATTCTAATTTTCTATTTTTAATACAAATGCTACAATACCATCTTATGTACCTTGCAAAATCTTTTTTAAAGAAATTGTACTTTACCCTTTGTCCCTAAAAAAGATTCCTCTTTTCCCATCTGATTTCAAAACTTTGTGGCTTTTCTCCACCTTTTCCCTTTCTTTCTTCCCCCACCAGACCTTCCTACCCCCCTTCTCCTAGCCTCTGCCTTGCTGGCTTCCCTTCTCTGTTGTGTTCCTTTTTTCTTTTGTTTACTATCATTATATTGATTTTGCACCTTATTTTTCTCTTTCTTGAGTGTTTTTTTAAATCTTAAGTCCTTCATTTTCCTTCCTTTCTTCCTTCCTTCTTTCTTAGTTAAATTTTGAAATTCATTAAAGATGGCTTCTTCTTCTGCTGCTGCTGCTGCTGCCTCCATCTGTTGTAGTGTTTGTTGATAGTTAACAAGCGCCATTTCTAAAAAAAGGAAGGCTTCTTTCACACCATCTTTGCCATCTGTTTTTGTTTGCTCATATTCTTTTCTCAGTTCCTCAGCAAAAAAAGCCATTATAAATCTTTTCTTTTCTTTTTTTTCCCCCTCTTTCTTCTTGCACCAACCAAGATATTTCAAAAAATAGAACAATCCCAAAGTCCTCAATCAATCCAAGCCAAGACAAAGTTCTCACTTTCTCTTCCTGGGGTAGTATCAATCAAAAAAAAGAAAATCCAAATCTGTATCTTAAAGCCTTATTGGAATTATATTTCAGTCTTCAAATCCTTAAGGCATCTCCTCCAACAAAATCTTAACATATGAATATATTTTTTGTCCTCTCCCTTCCCACTTATCACATAAAGCTAGTTTTTACCTGAAAAAGGCAGGTTTCTCAATATCCACTTATTGATTCCGTAGGGAAGGAGAGTAAACTTTCCTTTCAGCACCTCAAAATTGCCGCTTATTTTCTCTTGTGGAAAGAATCATTCAAAAAGCCATAATTTCCAGGAATTGTGTTAAATGTGTCTTAGAGTCCTGGGTCAACCAAGAAAACTTTCACTCTCAAAGGCTTTCTCCTCTTCCTCCTGCACATTCTTACCCAGCTGCCGGCTTCTTTGTGGCAGCCATTACAGACCGCCGCTGCACCGTCTTGGGAAAAGGGGGTTCTGCCGGCTGGGGAGGGGGTCTGCAACACCCCCAAACCCCTCTCCGGATCCCCCTATCTTCAGCTACCCCTGCAGGGTAGCCTTAGCTCCGAACCCGTCCGGATCGGAGCACCAAAAACGGCTAGCGTAGCAGGGATCGCGCAGTGTCGCGAATCCCTGCCGCTCGCGAAGCCGACAAACCGGAAGTGCCAAAACGTGCCAAAACGTTGCTACAACTTTAAAAGCACAGCTATAATGCCCATGCCCGGTTTAGCAAAAGGGGGAAAAGTCCTGATATGTCATGTGACACTGCCATGATGACCCCCCTAGTCTAATCTTTAGAAATCTTTGCTTGTGCAGGGAACAGGAAAGAATGATATTTCTTCTTTCTCTGTGATGCTCCAGACACACAGCAGTGGTGGGATTCAATTTTTTTTACTACTGGTTCTGTGGGCGTGGCTTGGTGGGCATGGCAGGGGAAGGATACTGTAAAATCTCCAGTCAGAGGTGGCGTTTGCCGGTTCTCCGAACCACTCATAATTTCTGCTACTGGTTCTCCAGAACTGGTCAGAACCTGCTGAATACCACCACTGACACACAGCCCAATATAAAGTGCTATCAAAGTCAGAGGGAAGGGATTGGGATAGAGAGAATACCCTTCAGATCATTCCCCAATTGCAACAGAAGTATTTATGTTGGATGGAATAAAGTGGAGATGGTGGGCCAAACAGTCTCTCCTGCATTAGCAAAACACTATTTCAGATGCCATTCACACATTGGGGCAAGCAGGGTGTGAGGATCAGTCCTGACAAAAAAATTGAAATGTGCAAAGCAAGCTACACAAAATCCTTGCACATAAGAAGTAGGATTTTTGTTGTTGCTGTTGTTATGCTGTCACAGAATCAACCTTCTGAAAGTCTATCAGGTTCTGATACTCTCCATTTTCCAATATAAGGTGAAGAGTTAGTAGGTTAAAATATTATTTTGAAACTTTTAACTTTCTGGGGAAATGTTTTCAGTGTATATATTGGTAATGTTTTAATGATTGTTATTAGCTGCATTGATAAGTTGGGATAAACATTTTTTATTAAACAGATAAAATAGTTCAAAGTAAGTTTAGTAACAGAAGTTTCAGGGGTACAACATATACAAGATGCATACATTTCCGTTCTACAGGAATGGTTATTTTATCTTTTTTTTCTTATAACCCAAAGATCTGTGCAAAATGTAGCTTTTCAATTAAAGAAGTCTGGGCTGAAATTTTTGAATACCAGGTGTAAACTAAGTTCCCACTCCTTTTCCACAAATGTACTTTGGGTTGGATTTCCATCCCCTTTTCTCCCTAGCTGAATTCATATAATCATTGATCATTAATGTAAATGTAATTGTTTTGCAACATTAATGGGTGATTTGGGAATAGGATAAAAGAATACAGAAAAAATGATTGAGCCATTTGAAGAGCTAAGAATGTAATAGAAGAAAAAAGAAAGAAATAGAATCAAGAATGAAATTCAGTGAGCATTCAAAATGAGTGACTAGCAAGAAAGAAGACTGTTGAGGAGGAGTTTCCTGGTATAAAAGTAAATATATGAAGGAAAATATATGAGTTGAACAAAAGCAGAAGACTGAGAAGTTTCTGGTCGATTGAGTCAATGTGATATTTAAAAACAACAAATGAGAAGTTTAATGAACAAGTGTAAGAAATGTTGTTTGGATGAAATAGAAGAAAGGAAAATTTTCAAAAATAGACAGAAGTAGAATGTCTGTATTAACGTAAAAGAAAAGTCATTTTATTTCTCTTTTCTTTTCTGCCTTTTCTTTTTTTGCTCACCACTTATTTTTTTCTGCCTTTTATGTAAAATTGCTTACTCTGAAAAGGCTTAGAGAGCACATGTATCTATGTATAGGATGAAATCTGCATTTCCAAAGTGTTGTGTCATATTTTAGCTTCCACTCATAGGACATGTATAAAACTCAGTTAGAGAAATGAATGGAGAAAACTAAACTCATAAGGAAGTTGTTCATAAAAAAATGTATACAACCATGTTACTAACTCAACAACTGCAGGGATTCGCTGAATGACTGTGGCAAGAAAGGTTATAAAATGGGGCAAAATTCACTTAACAACTTTTTGCTTGACATCATAAATTTTGGGCTCAATTATGGTCATAAGTCTAGGACTATCTGTACGTGTGTTTGAGGAAAGACAGCAAGACACACACACAAATATAAACAGAAATAAAATGAGCTCTTGGGACCATCCATCATGATTTATGTATCTCTCTTAATACCTCTTTTCCCTCTCTGCAGATATCACTATTATGGAATTGGCATCAAAGAAAGCAGTGCATATTATCATTCTGTGTATTCTGGCAAAGGTTTAACAAGGTATGTTTTTTTAAAAAAAAAAAAAGTTTTCAAAAATGTAATAAATAAAATGTTAGATGATGAATAAAGATGAATCAGTTATGAACAGGCTACACATTAATGTTTATCATTTCAATTTTCATCACATGAACTGCCTGTTACTTGGTGATGTCTAAATGGTTCTGCTTTTTTGAAATAGCATATAATGATATAAAATGTTCTATGCGAAACAGCGTATTTCAGGCAAGAAACCAACACATGAAGCAATTTCAAAAAATTGAATTGCTTATTTGTTTTCTGAACAAACCATTTGTGCGCAGATTCTCAAATCTTTGTAAGATTACGTTGTAGCAATGCTTTGCTTATTAAAGAGTTGATGCTTACCAGTGTATACATCCTATATATAGACATTTCCATACATCTGATTAAAATAGTTTTATTTCTCATCACTTAACAACCAAATATCCTTGATAAAAAAGCAGATCCTTGGTATATATATGTATCTATTTTAAAAAATAAATATCATATCAATGCTTTGTAGTTGCAAGTACTGTAATAAAACTACAACATATTACAAGGTTTTTAGTCAGCATGACCATTCTTGTTTATCACATTTCCAATATAGATTTGAAGTGCCTTTACAGATTCTAGATTAACTAGAAAAAATAACTATTCCTATAGATATTTGCAGAGATACTGCCAATCTAGCAGTTCAAAAGCATGCAAATGCAAATAGCATTCCATGTATTTTTGGCATATAGTCATGCTGGCAACATGACCCTGAAATTGTTTTTGGATAATGCTGGCTTCCTCAGCCAAGATAGGCACCATGCCCTGGAGTTGAAAACTACTGACAGGTAAACCTTTACCATTTACTTTTATTATAGTTTTTTATAATGTGGTATTTGATGCTGTTCTATCATCATCATAAACTTTAATCTAGCATTCTTTTCTGAAATCTAAGTAAAACATTTTGGTTTTCCAAGGTTTTCTGGAAGCAAGTTGAAGAATGAGGTGAGTACCCTCAACTTTCTTATTTGATCTTTTAAATGTGAAATGATGAGGAAAAACTTGACAAACACAACCCTCTGGTTATTCAGCTGTAAAAGTTCCACATACTTTGAAATAGAATAATTGAGGAAGCTGCCTGAGAGAAACCACTGCCTTATTTAGACTTTTTTTTTCTCGCCCTGATTTATGATGTATGGGATTGAATCAGTGTCTTTCCCCTTGCCAAACAGTGCTTTGCTGTTGTGTTTAGTTTTTTTCTAACTTGTACAGTCCATACATCCAGACCACTTCTTTATATAGATGGAAAGTTTTTAAGTTCAAATAGAAATTCATGCTGACTAGGGATACTGGTAGGAATGGTTAACTGCAACCTTCTCCACCCAGCTACTTTCTGACTGGATTGGATTTCAACTCCCATAATCCAGCCAGTATGTGTGAAAATTTAGAGTTTGAAAATTCTAAAAGCAATGAAAGGGTGAGAGAATACAAAGGAAAAGTATAGGATCAAGATTTTTCTTCCATTTTTCACTTTTTGTGTGAAATATGGTTATGATTCATAGAGTATCCAGTATAGCTACTGTTCATGTTGGGTGGTGCATGCAATAGAAATAATGGTTTGCTGTCTGAACAAGAGTTATATTTGTTTGCCAAAGAATTAAGGATTGTTCCCCATTTTCTGCCCTCTGTACTGCTCACAAAATGGCTCTGCAGTCTACCTATGACTTGGGGAACAAAATATTTTAATCTAAGATCAAGATACTTTAATCTATACCAATGACGCTAGCTTTAATTAAATGTTTGAGCTTCTTTTAGAGAAATATTTAATCAACAGACTAAGGATTAAAAGATCTAGCACAACAATTCCCCTGATTTTGAAAAATCCTATGCTGACAGACTCCATCAAAAGAATGATGTCCTTGGTACAATGTGAATGAGGGGGCTGAGTATTATCACCGCTTAGTTTCACATTGTCATGTTTTCAAAGTAAAAGTTATTTGTAAAAAGAATCAAACATGTAACTGAGACACAAGCTTCCGTATAAGTGAATGTATTAATTGTAGCTTTGCTGTCACAGTGCTCCTGCCCTTTCATTTTATTTTCCATCTCCTTAATGTCCCAAAGTGTATTTTATCATATACTTGGAAAATAATTTCAGATTAGTCTTATCTTTTTTTAAAAAAATCACCACATACTAATAGGTAATTGTTCAACTGAAGCCATATTGACTCATGACAGCTTTTAAATGATCTAATGTTTATGTCAACATACAATGGGAACTACACACCACTTCTTTCATTAGTTCCTTATCTGTGTTTGAGTAGCCTGATGTTCTGGCTAGTTATAGCTTGGATAATCTTGGTTTCTTTACTATAAAAAAGAAGTGTACCTAAACTGTTAATTGAAACATTTTCTGGATTTTGAGACTGGCCACAATCCAAAGAAAGAGTGCCAATCTTAAATGGACATTGGGTGTGAGATTGCCTTTATGTAATAATGTTCAACTGAAATAAACCCAGAAGCTATACATACAAGATATTGTATTACTAGTAAAGAATAATTTTATGAAATAAATTATGACTTTGTCTTACATTATTCATATTTTTATCTTCTTGGTTTAGTGGTATAAATTATGAGATCTAAAATATGAGATCTGAAATAGGAAACACCCTAATAAAACTGTTCAGAAGAGATTTACTCGGTTTTTTGACTTTTACCAAGGTCCATCAGTAATTTCCATTCCATTTGTTTGCTGTTGTTTTTAAAGAAAAATCTGATAATATCCACAGTTTTAGCTACATGTATATATTTTTTTAAAAAAACCCAGCTGTTTCCATTGTTTGGTTCAGCTGGAAAGCGGATCCCCTACCATGTGGCTTCAAAGTACTTCTTAAGAATTTCAGGAACTAAGGTCATGTTATCACTTATTATCTGGGTCTCCATCTTTGTTGGGGACAGGGAAGGATGCCTCCATATGTTAAAAACAAGAAAGCCAGAACTGAGTCAATCTTTAAAATAAATTTGATGGACTTCTCAAACTTGGCAATTCCCAAGCATGTACAGGAATATCTGCTATGGGCCCAAAAACTAAATGGAGATTTTAATGGGATTCCTTTTTTGGGGAATGTAGGTAGGAATTTTGTTTTATTGTTTGTTTGTTTGATGTCTAGATTTTGCATTTCTGCACTCACCCATATACCTATTCTTTTTCTTGCTCTTCTCTTCTGTTCTCTCTTCTTCTTTTTTAAATGATATCTTGAAAGCTGAATCCATTATGCAACTCTTACTGATATTGCAAGGCATATAAACATTAAAATTTCTTAATGGGAACATTTATTCAAATAGTTTCAAGTTATGTATTAATACAGCAATTAAAATATTATACATAAATGTTAAAGGCTTAGATCTGCAGACTCAGTGATATGGTGGGAATAATGCAGAGAATAAGAAAATTTTGAAGGCTGGATGATGAGTTTTTAAAAGAACACTTAAAGGAGACAAAATAGCACGTATGAAAATGTTTAAAAATATACAGTATTTCAGATTTTGTATGTTTTCTTTCACTCTCATTTTGTCTTCCTGACTTTTGTTGCTGATAGAAAAAAGTAGGGCAGAAAAGTTTTATGGATAGGACCTGTTTATTCTTGGAAGCATTTCTAATTAGCTGCATTTCAATTATGAAGGAGAAAAGAAAGCAGTCGGGTTATCCAGCAAAAATGCGTAAATGGTCAATCTGAATTAACTTCTCCAAGATCTCTGCAAACCTAGCAGTGCCAGTGTATATAGGTGGCATGTCTGCTGAAATTCCTGATGCATTCTTGTTTTGATGAACATCTTTGGATGAATGCAGAAGACCTGATATTCTTACAGAGGAAATAATAATAACAGGGAGTTCAACCACATGAACAGAAGTCTATGCGCATGTGACACTGAGAAATTTGATTACTTGCATACAGTTCAATAAGATGATCATCATAGCATATTATGATCATGCATTTGTAAAGTTATTTCATATATTTTAGGGTGGTTTTACACGGAAGTATTCTTTAAGCTCCAAAACTGGGACTCTTCTTCCAGAATTCCCCAGTGCTCAGCACCTTGTGTTGGACCAATGCATCTCTAAAGACAAGGTAAAATGTGAAGTGTTTGCATACTAAACTGACTTCTAAATTTGCACTTTTTATTTCACCCCTGTTCTCAAATGATTCACTGTAGTGATATGAAACAGCTACAAATGTTTGTAATCAAACAGACTTGACTGATTTATAGAGGGAACAAAACTTTACTATCGCCCTTTAAAGGGTTTTCCATTGGAACAGTGGATAAATTATTTACATATTAACTTGCCTAATATTTTACAAATAGAGGGATTCGTACTGACAAAGGCAAAACAAAGAATAGTTAAGGGCCCCATCAATTCGAAATACCAATGGACTTATTTAACACTGATAAGGCAGAAGGAAATTATTTGAGGCAAATTACGAAGTGGATTTTTCTACTTTTTTTTCTTTTGGTCAATGAACACAAGTTAGCACTTTTGTATTTTATTTCTTTATCATTTGAAAATGAAGTACATGTCACTGTGACTCTTAAATAGTGCTCTTAATGTGGCTGATTCCTTGTATTTCTTTGTGGAAAAAAATGTAGATGACTGTTAAATCAATTTTAAATAATAATATGCTATAATTATTGAACCAAATAAGAGTCAAAATGTCTATGATCCTATGATTATGAACATACAGGGAGGCATATACACGGAGGCATACACACAGACCCATACAACTATATATATTTGGATATTGTGTTAAATCAATATTATTTCAGTCTTGACCAATATAAAATATACAAGAATACAAAAGTCAGTACATTAAGTGTATACATAAAATATATTTACTATAAAATACTCATTTTATTGTATTACATATAAATAAATAAGTCTATTATTCAAAAGTAATATGTATGCATATATGTATGTATATGTATGTGCAATCATGTTATATACACCCACAAGCAAGACATATGAACACACTTATAAAAGGATGAAATTTGTATTGAAGGTCTAATATTTACAAAACACTAAAAAATAAAACTTCTACACAGACCTATCTTAAAACAATCTGGCCTAACCTTAACCATAAAATAATACATAACCAGCTATATTATTAATAAAATATTTTATTTAAAAAGTTAATAAAATCATAATATAGTTTTTAAATAGGAAATCCAAATATCTGTGAAGTATGCTGAAAATAGTAATATTGAATAAGCTGAATCAGTGCTTACTGGCAATCTCATCCTGCCTTATTTTATGCGTCACCACACACAACTTGTAAATAATGAAAGAATTAATGTTTAGAAATAATAGGTGGGTAGTAGAACAGTCTGGTGTCCCTTTGAGGAATGGCTTGAGGAATAAGAGCACTTGAATCATCTCTATAATACATACTATGGAGGAAAATATGTTCATTAGTAAACTTGGTCACCGGGACATAGAGTACAGGAGCCATTAAAGGCATCTTCCAGTATCTTCCATCTGAAGGAAGGTCCTTAAAATGCAGCACTTTTCTGTTTAAGAAAATCTGTGTCATATTGGAAACAGATACTAGCATGCATCTATGACTTTTATTCATAGGAAGAACTGGGATCTTAGGTATAGCTTTTTAAGAACTATATTCTGCTCATATCCCACTGAAAGTAACTCGGAGTGTTTTCTTCTTGTTTTACAAATATAATTCTCTAGGTGATATGCATGATAAGTTTAAGTAACAGAAATACATACACTGATTAGATTTAATTTCCAACTACAGTATAATACCCATGTTAGGGCAGTCTGAGTATACAACTAATGTAAAGTACAGACTTAATTGTTAAATTAGATCTAATCTGCATAGACAAATTTAGCATGAAAGAAATGCTGTTAACCATAACCATCAAGATTTTATCTATGTATCTTGTAATTAATGTTAATCGAGTCCTGGATCAGTAATAGGTTCTTGATTTGATAATACATTTCAATAATTACTGGATTATATTAAAGAATGGGATTCTAGTGTCAGTTATCAAAATGTCTTGCTGATTTAAAATATGGGATTTTATTTTCAAATAAAATTTCGGTTGCTCACATTCAGTTATGCATATCCTTCCCTTTTGCAATAGGTTTGGAAATTCTATTCTGTCATTGATGTCAAGGCTCTGTGTCTCTCTGTGTGTTTGCAATATTTAAAAGAAATTTAAAGTTAATTTAAATAATGTTTAATCCATTAATTTTTTATAATTTAATTAAAGAAGCAGTTTAAAGAAACTTGACTGCCCAGACAAAACCACATAAATAACATCCAAGAAAAAAAAAATCAACAGGGCCTCCTCCTAACTAAAAGAGAATAGAATTCCAGAAGCAGAGCTTGGCCTTAATATATTTCCAGAACATGTGAAGAGAGGGAGTCATTCATGTCTTCCAGGAGTGGAGGAACGTGGTCTCAGAGGGCAAGGGCTGTGACATTTTGGGCTGATTAACGGTAAAGCAATGTTTCTTTATAGGTATGCGCTGTAATGTCACTACATAGTGTGAGAAAGCTAGAAAGCTAGTGCTGATGAACACCTATGCATATGTAGTGTCCAACCAACTCACATTTTCTGAGCGACCATTCTTCCTGACTCTAAAACGTTGATATATCCTCCAAACTTTCCTAAGGAAACTAGATACACATTGGAGTTTACATAGTAAAAGTTACTTGACCTTTCACTGCTTGTTAAGCCATTTATTCTGAAATTGTCCTCTGCTAATATAAAAGCTAAGCCAAATCTCCCCAAACCTCTGTCTAAATCTTTCAGCAGTATGTGATCAGGTCTACTGGCATTGTGCTGTGACTACTGTAGCACTTGTGCCTTTGATCTATAGTAGCTTAGTAGCAATTCTAAATGGGTCTCCAGCCTCACAGACCATATCAGCATTAGGATGATATGAGTATATCCTCCAGTTTGATACTATTAAGATGATAACATCAGCAAGTTTATGAGCACTGAATCTATGGCCATGCATGTTAGGTATTTGCTAATGAGTTAATTACAGGAGATGGATATCAACAAGGTAAATGAATATTTTTAGGGAGACCAATTAATTAAGTAGCTTCAAAATATAGAGATAAACCTATTTGGTGTTACAGCTTGAAATACAACTTATTTATTTATTTACCCAATTTCTATATTGCCCATCTCACCTATGCGACTCTGACCAGTTTAGAAATAAATGTATGCAGGGGCATGAGAGTATCCTACACATTTTGCTTAGGGCTCCCTCTGTCTACATCAAAAGTCCTTACTATATACTTACCCCCAAAAAGAGATTTGATTGGTCATAATCCTGGGAAATAATCTGAATGTCAACAAATGGCAACATTTGTAGCCCTCTGTTTTATGAGGACCGAATTCCATAAGCACAAAGTGGTACAGTAGTTATTTGGCAACAGCGAGAGAACAATGGAAAGTGTCTTGGTTAATCTCAAACTCCTATGAGAAAGGATGTTGCAGTGTGGATAAGCAAGATTGGGATAGTGAATTCCATTGTTTAAAGTCCTATCCTATCAAAGTGGCAAAGTAGCAAAGTATCATAGCTAGAAATAGATTAATGGTCTTTCTATGACTAAGTTAATTATTATTCTTTTAATTTGCAATCATCTGCAATCTATCTTCCTTTCCAAATGCAAGATGTTACAGAAAAAAATCCTGAAGGAGATATAAAGATTTTGTTTAATGTTACTTTATTTTAATTTCTAATTCCTAAAATAGGTGGACACCCTTATCATGATGTACAAAACTCACTGTCAATGTGTCCTTGACAATGCCATTAATGGAAACTTTGAAGAGGTAAGACCTAGAAAACTATTTTAATCTGTTCCTAATATGAGGAGTGTGGCCAAAAATCTCACTCATATTTGCTCTCTTACGTCTCCTTCCTAGATCCAACATTTCCTACTACATTTCTGGCAAGGAATGCCAGACCATCTTCTTCCCCTGCTTGAAAATGCAATTATCCTTGACATCTTCTGTGTTTGCGACTCAATACTCTATAAGGTCTGTTGCCTTCAGTCACAATGGCAGATTTTTATTTTTATTTTTTTTGCAAAACAGGTTCTTACTGGCATGGAAAAATTAGGTCAGCTGCTTTAATAGGTTAGGCAAGGAGGGCAGGCAGCAAAATATGCAATGGTATTTAATTGTGCAATCATGGTTTGCTGCAGACACCACTAATTGCTTCAGACAGCAAAAGTGGTTGACCAAACAGAATGAAACAAATAAAGAAACAGACCAGATCCTATATATAGGAAACAGGCACATTGTTAGGGATGTTTATGGTAGATACCTTTACACATTATATAAGTCCATAAAATGTTCTATGCTTGTTTTTCAAAAGCAAAAAAGAAGTATATTTGTTTTTATAGAACACATCTTTTATTTCATGTCAATTTTCCTGACAGAAGGAGCCTCATGCAATCGATAACTGAAGCCGTTTTTAAACTTTGGCCTAGTAGATTGCCTCTTAATAGGTTGCAACATACCTTACTATTTCCAGCAGTTCAAGACCACTTTGCAACTTACATCTGATAGTTTGCTGTTCTATCCCATCCATGCACATATATGCACTTCTACCACGGACCTCATGTTATTTAGGGAACACCATGCAGTCTACCAATGTGAGCCAATATGAATTGGGAAGTGAAGAATTCAGCTAAACACGGTATCTTTGCCAGATCCTGTACTGTCATGTGTATGATTACACAAGAAGAGTCATCAATTAATTCCTTCTTATCTGTAATGCAGTGATTTTTTTATTTGCAACAAAATACCACAGAGCCTGTTAGCCTGATTCCATGCACTTGATAGCATTATTGAGGTATTAATTTTCCTCCTTCTGTATTCAAGGTCCTTATAGATGTACTCATCCCTGCAACTATGCAAGAAATGCCAGAAGGGTAGGTAGCACTGTAGGTGAACTTATTGAAAACATAAGATCAGTGTTGCAATCAGAATAATATTTTTGTTTCTTTAAACACAGAAAATATCAGTTCTTCGGTATAAATGGTATAAGCCTAACTAGCTCAAAAACTGCCACCTGAACCTGGCCAGTTATTGAGATATATGGGAGAATTGCTTTTAAGAATGCCATTCAATGGCATGGTTTTCTTTTATAAAATATGGATCTTTTTTTCTTATATAGCTAAGATTGGTTTTTGATTTCTTGGCCTTTAGAAAAGAAATTAAGGTACATCTTTTAGTCTCACACCTATGGTGATACTTAATTTGATAATGAAATGTCTGCAAGAACAGGTTCATGATTTAACGTGACAATAACATTTTGACCATTATGTGCAGCAGAGAAATATTTTTTGATAAGTTTGTGTGAGAGGGGCACTTATTTGATGACAATTCAAAATCATCAAAGTTCAAAGTGGACTACAAAAGAATTAATAGTTGTACTTAACAAGACCCTTATTTTCATTTAGATTTCAGTTCCGCAGAAGTTCATATTAATTTATGAAGCTTGAGTCCTTTTTTCATTATTAAAAACTATTCTAAATAGACATCTATAAAGGCTTTCTGTTGTTGAAAGCCCACCATCTGCATGTCAGAGTGTCTTCAAAATTTCACTTGCTTCCCTGCACAGTTTGTATGTAGCAGCAGATAGATAAGCAATAGTTCTGTTGTGTAGGGAGTGCCAATCTACTTTTCATCATGAACCAGCTACAGTGGTCCAATTGTTTACCTCATTTGAATCCTATTTTATTAGGAAGATGCTACTTTCTGCCTCTATTAAGTTCTGTTGTAGAATTTAAGTATTATAAAATACTTCAAAAGTTTAGATTGGAAGGGATTGAAGTGGCAATAGCCTATTTATCCAGTCAAAATCTGTTGTTGTAATTCTGGAATAAATCAGACAGTGGAAATTAAAGCTGGTACAATGGCATTGGCACAGCTTGTTATAATGATGTTTGCCATAAGTGGAAATTCTTGTTCCCAGTCTTATACATCTAGTTTTCTGGTTCTGGCCATGTAGTTTTCCTATTAAATTCAGACTGTAAAGTCTGATTTGGGTTGAGCGATCACTTTTCTGGATGAAGCTGTTAATATTTTTTTAATCATAGAATACGAACATTTTATATGGATCGATTCCAAACTCTTTATTTTTGTTTCAGAATATTGGCTGATATAAGAATTTTTGCTAAAAACTGGGAACACTGGATTATTTCTGCCCTAGAAAATCTACCAGAAGAACTTGCAGCAAAGAAATTACCGATTGCACGGAGATTTGTATCTTCCCTGAAGCGTCAGACCTCTTTTTTGCACTTAGCCCAGGTAGAGCTAAAGTAATGAGTGATTACAGCATTTATTTTGTAAATTCAGAATGCACTGTATGTACTCAAGGATGTGCAGGAATTCCTAGTAGAAATGCAGTGAAATTATGCTGCATATGTACTGCAAAGTAACATAAGAAAAAGAGGAGAGGGGTACATGTCCCTGAATCAGAATCAGAATAAAGTAAACTTGGAGGTCTTCTAGTCCAATCTTCTGCTCAAGCAGGAGACCCTAAACCAGAGGTGTCAAATTTGATTTCATCAGGGTTGTGTTTTATCTTGGGGGGGCAGGGGGCTGTGGCTGGTGGGCCGTGGTCAGCTTGATGTCACTCATGTTGGGGGCACCTGTAGAGGCCCGAGAGCTCTGCCAGGAAAATAAGCTCCCAAGCTCCGTTTTCGACTGTGATGGCCTTCTGCAACCCTCTGCCAGTGAAAACACAGTTCACTGCGAGCCCTCCCGAGCTCCGTTTTCGCTGGCAGAGATGCTGACTGGCTGGTCCTTTGTTGTTTCCTGGGCAGCCCCATGGGCCAGATCTCAGCACCCCATGAGCCGGACATCCGACCCCATGGGCCGGATCAAACCCCCAGGCCTTGAGTTTAAGACACCTGCCCTAAACAATTTCAGACAGGTGGCTGTCCAGTCTCTTCTTAAAAATCTCCAGTGATGAAGCACCCAAAACTTCTGAAGGCAAGCTGTTCCACTGGTTAATTGTCCTCACTGTTAGGAAGTTTCTACTTAATTCCCTTGCCTTCTTCCTAAAGCAGAGAGGGAGTGACTGGCTCAAAATCATCCAGATAGCTTCTTACCTAAGGCAGAGTAGAATACACATTTGCCTGGTTTCCAGCCTGGAGCCTTAACAATAGCAATAGCTTATAGACTTATAGACTTATATACAAGGGTGGATTCAACCGGTGTTACTACCAGTTCGGTGACTACATTTTTCATGCACATGCGTGTTTTGCGTGCACGTGCATGTAAAAAACCTTAAGCTGTGCTGCCCGGACAGCTGAAAAGCACTGTGCGCAGGTACGCAGCGTTTGAAAAGCCTCTTTTTTTCTGCTTTTTCAAACTCAGCTGTGCCGCGCAAACCAGCTGAGGTTGAAAAAGCAGGAAATAAAGGACAGGTAAGAGCCTGGGCAGGCGGGTGGGCCAAACAGCAGCAAACACAGAACTGGTTTGGTATCTGCTGCTCTTCAGAGCTACCGGTTCTATAGAGCTGGGCAGAACCATAGCATCCCACCCCTGCTTATATATCGCTTCACAGTGCTTTTATAGCCTTCTCTAAGTGGTTTACAGAGTCAGCCTATTGCCCCCAACAATCCGAGTCCTCCTTTTTTGCCGACCTCAGAAGGATGGAAAACTGTGTCAACCTTGAGCCTGGTGAGATTCAAACTGCCAAATTGCAGGCAGCCAGCAGTCAGCAGAAATAGCCTGCAGTACTGCATTTTAACTACTGCGCCATTGCAGCCTTAACTATTACACCAAACTGTTTCCCATAATGATAGTCCTCGACTTACAACAGTTCATTTAGTGACCATTTAAAATTGCAATGGCACTGAAAAAAGTGACTTATGACCATTTTCCCACACTTATGACCATTGTAGTATCCCCATAGTCATGTGATCAAAATCCAGATGCTTGGCAACTGATTTATATTTATGACAATCACAGTATCCTGGGATCATGTGATTTACCTTTTGCAAACCTTCCGATGAGTGAAATCAATGGAGAAGTTAGATCCGCTTAACAACTGGGTCACTAACTTAACAACTGCAGTGATTCACATAACAACCATGGCAAGGAAGGTTGCAAAATGGGGCAAAATTCACTTAACTCACTTAGCAACAGAAATTTTGGGCCCAGCTATGGTCGTAAGTCAAGGACTACCTGTATTTGCTCTTGAGGCAGCTAAAATTTAGTTACCAATCTGATAGCACGTTTAGCAAGGTATTAATTTCATTAAATTACATTACATAATATTAATATTTAAGCAGCAAAATAATCATATTCGACCATGGATCATTTTGAAAACATAGCTGTGCTGTGCCACTGCTATGCTATCAACAAAAATTCAGGATTTTTCCTCTGTTTTGTCTTCACAGATTGCACGACCCGCTCTCTTTGATCAACATATAGTGAATGCCATGGTTACTGATATTGAAAAGGTCGATCTGTATGGCATCGGATCTCAGGCACTTCTCACAATTTCAGGGAGCCTGAACTCTGAGGTGGAGGCCTACACTGAATGTAAGCTTCTGCTTATATCTGAACGGATTGTGTTTCTCATCCTGTCCTAGGGCCTTCATTCTAATTCTGTAAAACTGAAATGCATGCTTGAACTTACCTTACGCTTTCTATATGCGATATGATTTTGTTTTGCATTAGAAGCCAATTTAAAACACAGCTGGCTTCACACATACATCAATGGGCTTCTCTATAGAAATATCCAATTGACTACAGAAATTCCCTGATTACAGGAGATTCCCAATTCAATTCAATGGCATAAAGGAGCTTTCAGTCAACTTTCCCACTGCCTGCAGGGAACTCTCTTTGCCCCTAAAATTTCCCCTAATTTAACACATGGATTAAAAAGTAGCCTGAAAGTGTTGAAATATCAAAATCCATTAAACAAGACATATCCTTTGGAAAGTATATACAGGTAGTCCACAACTTATGACCACAATTGAGCCCCAAAATTGCCGTTGATGAGACATTTGTTAAGTGAATTTTGCCCCATTTTATGAATTTTCTTGCCACAGTTGTTAAGTGAATCATTGCTGGTGTTAAATTATTAACTTAGTTGTTAGGTGAATCTGACTTCCCCACTGACTGCTTGTCAGAAGGTCACAAAACGGGATCACAGGACCTCCAAGACACTGCAAAATGTCATAAATATGAGTCAGTTGCCAAGCGTCTGAATTTTGATCACATGACCATGGGGATGCTAAGATGGTTGTAAGTCTTAAAAACAGTCATAAGTCACTTTTTTTCAGTGCCGTTGTAGCTTTGAACGGTCACTAAACAGACTTGTAAGTCGAGGACTGCCTATAATCATTTGTTGTGTATGTTATTTGAAATGTTAGTCTTTTCTTCTTTCCCTTCTCTTCTGCATAGCTGCTTCACACACATATAATTTATCAACGTGTATATTTCTCTAGTGATTGTTCCTTTATATTTTGATTAATATCTTTGTGTCTGGCAGTACTCTTTCATTTTGTGTGTGATATGAAAATCATTCATCACATAAGGAAGATTCTAAATGTTTTTGTTGGATTCCTTTTTCTGTTTACTTATTTAGTTGATCCAAATTACTTTTTTTGTTCTCCCTTTAAAAAAAAATCTGATTAAATAAATTTCTCACTGCTGTGAGATAGGCAAAGTTAATTAATACATAGAGGTTCAAACATTGCTTGATCCCACTACGTCAAGACAGATATAATTATATTTTTACTGGTTTGCATGAACTGAAGAACAGCAAATGTAAGCTTATTTATAAATAAATCATAGTTCTCTTTCTCTACCAAAAACTCTGATGGGATGAGTAAGCATAACATTGGATGGGTAAAAGAAAGCTTGATTTTCTTCTACTCTACTATCTCTCTACTATAATTTCCCCCAGTCATTGGCTTTTTGGTTTGGTTAACATACATCTGTGTGCAATAGGCAGCTAGGATCTGAATTCTCGTATGTGCAATAGAGACAATATAATCCCATTAACTGAGAACTCAGCCTTTAATGCATGAGTTCTTCAAAGAAGAATGCTATGAATACATACAGTGGGACAAAACGTTTTTGAAAAAGGAAATGCATATAGTAACCCAAACAACAAGTTCTATGATACAAAATTTGAATACAGAACAGAACTGAGTAGCTTGATTGATTGATAGAACTGTCAATTTTGAATAAATGCAAAATCTTCTTAATCACATAAAATTTCCCTGGGAAATAAGTCCAGCAGTTAGCTTGATGAACTCAAGAAATCTCCCATATTTTCTCTCTTCTTGTTTTTCCTTCACTGCTCTAATTCTCCCTTTTTCTTTTCTTTACATGCTTCAAAACTAATAATGACGGGTGAGTGGCTTCCTCTCCTGTTCAGAGTAGAGCACAACCACATATTTTCCTTTTTACATGGTAGATGACTCTATTACAGTGTTCCAAGAACTGAAGGACCTCTTAAAGAAGAATGCTACTGTGGAATCGTTTATTGAATGGCTGGATACTGTCATTGAGCAAAGAGTTATTAAGGTAAAACAAAAACTGAAAATAAATGGTTTCCAGTGGTGCTTGTTTATAATCTGATTTTCTGGGTCTTGCCTTTTTGATCATCCTTTCTTCTTATGAAATATTTTTTATCTAATTCTGAATAGTTGTAATTTCAGGCCTCCATAAAATCTTCTGAAGCCTGATTTCAGAACATCTTCCAAAATTTCCACCACACTGTAATTTTTACAGAATGGTGGAAAAAATTAAGTAAATTATATTAGTAGTATTTGGATTAATTTCATATTAATTTTACATTTAACATCATTTAAATCAAGCCTAGGATTTTTGGACTGGGCCTCATGTATTCTTTTTTTCTTGTTCTATCCTGGTGCCACTCACTATATATAGAGTAGCCCTAAGAATGCTACCTAAAGGTGAAAAGCCTCCTTTGTCCCTAAATTAAACATGAATGTGTGTATACACACACACACACACACACACACACACACACACGTATATACACACGTACGTGTGTGTGTGTGTGTATGCATGTATATTTTTCAAACTATTTATTCATAATATAATACTTTTGAGTTGGAGAAAAAAGAGAAGAAATGTAAATTAATCTTACATTTATATTACTTACAAAGGAACTACAGATGCGCATGCTTTCTCCTTTAGCAACCTGTAGCCTATCTCATTTCCCATGTATCAATGGGATGAATATTTAATTCTTCTCATGGAACTTTTTCTTATAAACCATATAGAGAGGCTAAAGGATGATGGACAGAGATGTAACAACATGTGAAGAAGAGGCACTGTCTATCATATGCCACTCATAAAATAATTGCTACTTTCACACTTCTATCATTCTACCAAAACAATAATAATCAGATAATAAAATGACACTCCCAGGTTTGCTTAGTTAATATTTAGATATTCATTATTTTAAAAAGCAGTGGAGGAAAATTGCCCATCAATTAATATCTGTTATGGAACATTGTTCTAGAATAAACATGTACAATATCCAGTGTTTTCCAGCCACATCTGGAAAAAAGTACTGAACAATTTACTATATGAATCAAGATTAGAGAGTAAGTGGTAATGATTTACAGAGCACATAATCCTTCCATTGCCCTCAGCCTTCTGTTTGGTGAAAAAGAATAGGGCCTCTCCATCATACCAAATGGCTTCTTTTGTTTGCTGTTTGCGAAAGTGGCACTTTATAACTTCACCACAAACAGCTGAAGTCTGATGTCTTACTCGGTGCTAGAGGATTATCCAAAATGAGCATGCGAACACTGTTTGATCCTATTTAACCTCGTGAAATGGGCATATACCACTTTTCAGGGTAAAACCCGGTCATAAATGGCTTATAAACTATTTTTACAAAGGGTTTTGGGTTACACACAAAACATATTTACAAGTTCAAAAACGTTTTTTATAAGCCAGTAGTTTGAAACTCAGCACAACACTTTAATCAAATAAAGATTTAAGGTCCATTTATTTATTTTATTTATTTATTTGATTTGTCAATTGCTTACAAAATAATAGATATAAATATAAACATGAGTAAGAATACAGAAAATAGGTACGATTAAATGGGGACAATAGGACAGGGACGGGAGGCACGATGGTGCACTTATGCATGCCCCTTACAGACCTCTTAGGAATGGGGTGAGGTTAATAGTGGATAGTTTGAGGTTAAAGGAGTGGGGGTTTGAGGATGTAACTACAGAGTCAGGTAGTGCATTCCAGGCATTGACCACTCTGTTGCTGAAGTCGTACTTTCCGCAATCAAGTTTGGAGCAGTTAACATTGAGTTTGTATCTGTTGTGTGCTCTTGTATTGTTGCAGTTGAAGCTGAAGTAGTCATTGATTGGTAGGACATTGTAGCAGATAATTTTGTGTACTACATAGTTCAAGATTGTCCAAGCCCCAAATTTCAAGTCTGGTGATATAGGGTATTCTGTTGCAAGCAGAGGAGTGTAGTACTCTACTCATGAAATACTTCTGGACTCGCTCAATTGTATTAATGTCTGATATACAGTGTGGATTCCAGACAAATGAGCTGTAGTCAAGTATTGGTCTAGCAAAGGTTTTGTATGCCATAGTTAGCAATTCAATATTTCTAGAGAAGAAGCTTCATAAGATTAGATTTACAACTCTTAATGCCTTTTTGGCAATGCTGTTACAGTGAGCTCTGGCGCTTAGGTCATTAGATATGAGTACTCCTAGGTCCTTGACAGAGTGAGGGTCATCAGTGAGGTCATTTATGTCCTTTGAGATGGGTAGGACATTGCATACCAATTTTGGGGTAGAAAAGATGAGCCTACAATTGGAGGGGTTTGTCTTTAGTCCTACCAGATTGATTGGAGATTTAAAAGAGAATTTCTAGTACATGTACTCTGTCAAATAAACCAGCGGAAGCCTTATTATGATCACTGCTATCTTTTTAATATATCTTCAATCAGACTATTCACTGATTTGATCTTCAGCTGTTTGATACTTGATTAACTGTATATATTTAGTACCAAGTCATACTGAATAACTTAAACCTATTGGCTCTCTTATCTAATTCTGAGTTTCCATTTAATGTTAAATCAAGGAAGATAATAGAGGAGGTAGAAGAGTAAAATTTAACAAGTAGATATAGCATATTCACAATGCGATTATTCTAAGAACTAAAGTATATGCTTCTCTGGATACCAATTCAGTCTTTCATCCTTTGTTAATAGCTATAATTGGTGGGTAATTTTTAAAGGATTAAAGTATACAGAGCAATCATTTGAAAAATTTCACACCCACGTATGTCCTGAATCTGATCCAGATCAGGCCTTTCTCTAATGGTTGATATTGAAATAATCAATATGTGCATGTTATATAGTGAGGTGTACTGGGTTGCAATGCAAACTGAGGTGCAGGATCATACAACTGGCAGATGCATCTGTTGAGACAGAAGCTTGGCTTCAGAAGGGAAATACCCAGCCTCTCCTTTCGACCACCTTGTCAACTGGCTGATTCCAAGTCAGGATTTTAAACTATGAACTCAGAACATCCTTCCCCAACCTGGTATTTTCCAGATGGGCTGACTTAGAATGTGACTGAGATTTTTGGGAACTTTTCTCTCATACAGCTAAAGGGCATCAGGTTGGAAAAGTTAGTCTAGAGGATGTGTGAGGTTTAAAATGAGGAAAAAGGGGAGAGAGTTTGGCCTGATGGAAGTCTACAATCACAAGAGGGAAACTAAAAATGTACTGGGTAAGGATACGTACAAATGTTGCTTTCTTGCATTTATGGCATTCAGACCTTGTGAGATTTTTCAGGAGATACAGAGTTAAAGCACATTTTGTTCCCAGTACATCGTGGTAAAGCCTTGCCTTCCTGTAGACTAAAAAATCTACTTTTTGACCTGCAAACTTAGTATTATTTTATTGTGACTCTGTCCTAGATTCTTTGCTTGTTTTCTTCCTATAAGGAAGCTTTAACCTCTCTCCTTCTCACAGTAGTATTCACTGCAAGGGCTTACTTAGTCTTTGTATATTATTCCCACAAAAGATTTTGAACTTCCATTGTTTAATTAAATATCATCTCCCTATTCTTTCCCCAAGGTATAGTTCATAGTTGAGAATGCAGTTTCTGACTCCTGAGCTTATATCCCTGAATGCCATGCCAGTAATTCCATGTTTTTTTTACTCCTTGTCAGAGTGTATGAAAGATCATCATAGAAATTTTCTAGTCAGAGAAGGTAGATTCTACACATATTAAATAAATAAAAAAATCAAATGTAAAGCCCCATTTATAAGAGAGAAACATGAGTTTGCTTACTTTTGGATAATTCCTGATATCTCATTTCATTTTGAGGCAACCATTCTCATTTCTTGTTCCACATTTTTTTATCAGCATTGCTTTTTATAACAGCAACTGCAGACAGCAGACTGCCAACCATTATCAGTATTTCTTGTGGTCATTTTAAGCTCCACCCCCCCCCCTTACCATTCATTGCAAAGGTTTGAAATGCAAAACACCTGATTAAAATATTGAATTTCTTGAGCACATATAGACATTCCAAATATTATAAATATGCTATCAAGTACCCTATGACAGGGGAATGTACCCTATGACAGTCATGTCCCATATGCTGGGGACACACAAATATTTACAAGAGGTATTAAACAAAGTTATATAACATACATAATAACCCCATTGTTTTTGATTCATAAAGTGGTTGTTCCACTGTAACAAAAGGAAGCAGGCAGAAAGCTAATCCATTTATTTAACATTACTCAAAATGTCACAGCTCTATTATTATGCTTGAGGCAAAGTGTTTTAAAAGCAGCTCCTCTAAATTGCTTGTGTGCTCTCAACAAGATCCCAACCCATATTTTGAAAACTCCTTTGAGGTAGAAAATTTAGTTTCAAACTCCTGATTGCTTAATACATTCTATAGGTATCCATTGGATTGAAGTCTCAGGGCTTCTCTGTACTGCCTAGTTGTCACTACTATTTTTTCTTTCCCTGAGCTATTTACTTTTCTCAGAGCTTTTAGTTTTTTAAATAAATCCAGTGGTGAACTGTTTTAGCATCATTGAGGTAAAAGTGTTTCACTCCCACTCCTGAATAGCCCAGTGGCTATTCATGAAGGGAGATGGCTATGAATGTGGTGTGAATCAGTGGTGGGATTCAAAAATTTTACTACCGGTTCTGTGGGCATGGCTTGGTGGGTGTGGCAGGGGAAGGATACTGTAAAATCTCCAGTCAGAGATGGCATTTGCCGGTTCTCCGAACTACTCAAAATTTCCGCTACCGGTTCTCCAGAACTGGTCAGAACCTGCTGAATACCACCTCTGTTGTGAATATCTCTTTATGCAAGTTCACTATTCTTTATTAGTTAATATGCAGTTTTCTAGGGGGGCCATCATAGGAAAAAGACAAGTAAACTGATCTCAGGAAATGTTAATGCAATGACAGGAATGTGAGATCTGCTCTGTTCTAAAATATAAAAGATTCAAAAACAGTTTTTTTTTCTCTTTTAGGCAAGCAAGCAGAATGGTCGGTCTCTAAAGAAGAGAGCCCAAGATTTCCTTCTCAAGTGGAGCTTTTTTGGAGCTCGAGTAATGCATAATCTCACTTTGAACAATGCATCCAGTTTTGGTATTTGATTCTTCTCCAATTCTTTTGTTTGTTTAAGGAATATTCCAGATGATGATTTTATTCTTATTAAATCAGAGGACAGGTTCTTTTCTGATAAGTTAGTAGTATCACCTTTCAGCTTCAACAAAATTCTAGTAAGCCTCTTTTTTTTTCTTCCAGGAAAAACAAAAAATCAGAAACAGTTTTAAAGCAGTGCATGCCACCTCCAGAACAGTAAAGTAAACCTGTCTTTCATTCAATAAGTGCATTGAAAGTAAATCATTTCACACCATGTCTCAATTCCTGTGTTTCTGATACAGTGGCATAATTAGATAAAATATCATCAAATGCCAAATGGCCTTCATGCTAGCATCAGTAGTTTAATTAGAGATGGGGCACGGTGTTAAGTACAGAGACTGCTAGAAGTTATTCTTTTTATTCTTTCCAAATAGAATGTTGGAAAGAAATCCTATAAACAGGATCAGGACAGTGTGAGCAATAAACTGTCAAGAAGCTGGCAAAAAGAAGAAGGAGAAAAAGGATTAAGTTAAAATGGACTGGGTCTAATGGGGTCTGTAGAGAAAACATTCTGGAAAGTCTTCCCCCTGCATCCAAATGGGGGAGGAAGTTGAGCAGCCCTCAAATTATTTGGAATACTTCCATTCTAATCTCCTTTCCTCCCTCCCTTTGTGGCATATGACCTTATAGGCCAGTGTATCTCAATCTTAGCAATTTTAAGATTATCTAGATTTCAATGGAATCTGGGAACTGAAGTCAAATCATCTTAAAGTTGCTAAGGCTGAGAAACACTCCTATAGATCAGTGGTCGCCAACCAGTGGGCCGGGGACTATTGGTGGTCTGCGAGAAAATTTCAGTGGTCCGTAGAGAAATGTCACCCCCCAAAGCACCTCCCCCCCAAAATACCCCCCCAAAGCAATTAATCCAGGCTGTGTGGGAACACAAGGCTGCACTGCCCACATGGCCCACGGGAACACAAGGCTTGCATCGCTTGCATTGTGAACAACATGAGGTAGTGAGGGGAGGGGGGAAAGGGCGGAGGGGAGAACTTGCCTCACTCACCCCATGCACCTCGCCTGGCCACCAGGCTGCTTCTTTCTTCTTCTGCTTTTGGCTGCATGCAAGTAAAGCAGCAAAGGTCTTTCTCTCCCCCAAATTCCTCCAGAAATGAGTCTTTGGGACCCTGCAAGACATCCTGCTCCAAGAGGCTGTGCTGGCGTGACAAGTCTCACAAAGTCTCATTTCTAGCGGAGTTTGCGGGAGAGAAAGAAAGACTTCTGCTGCTACTGCTGCTTTCTTTGTGTGAAGCCAAAAATCTCTCTCTCTCTCGCTCTCTCTCCCCCTGAGAATGGAGCTGGAGATGATATCCTGTGATCCCAAATAAAGAATGATTGATCGATAGGAAAACGGGGTGGGGAATTTTCCTGCAGACTTTTTTTGGAATTTTCCCAGGGTCTCTGGTCTGCGGGATTTAAAATTATGAGTTTGGTGGTCCTTGAGGTCCAAAAGGTTGGCAACCCCTGCTATAGATCATATGCAACTTATCCTTTGCTTGCACATACCTACACAAAAATATACTGGTGCACAAGAAGAGAGGGCTGAAAAACAAAACATTGGTTTGTTAACCAGAAAAAAGAATACAGCCTTTTCTATAATTGCTGATGGTAAAGGAGTTGGAAGCCACATTGCTTGCTTCCCCTACTTTTTAAAATCTTTATTCTTTAAAATAGGAGTATAAACTTATTTGAAGTCTTAAGACACCTTTTCCCTCTAAATCCCTTCCTCAAGCCCTACAAAATTAAAAAGTGTAGTGACACCAACAACTATGCAACATAATAATAATAATAATAATAATAATAATAATAATAATAATAATAATAATAATAATTTTTCAAGTTGAGAATCAACAAGAAACAATTTGAAAAAGTCACCAGATATCAGGACTTGAGAATCGAACTGCAGAGACTCTGGCATTAACCAATACAGGTGGTTCCAGTGGTACTCAGCACACTGGGTGCTGTGCCTAAAGACCTAGGCAAGGACTTAAAAACCATTGGCGCTGAAAAGATCACCATTGGTTAGCTGCAGAAGGCCACCTTACTGGGATCTGCTCGCATAATCCTTCGATACATCACGCAGTCCTAAACACTTGGGAAGTGTTCGACTAGTGATTTGTGATACGAAACCCAGCATGGTTATCTCGTTTGCTGCCTATACTGTCATTTTTGTGTACAATAATAGAATAATAATAATTGTGCAGCCCCTGTAAAAATAGCTGTTGATCGCCATGCATATTTATTTATTTTTCTTCCTTTGAATCATATACTTTCTTATCATGTGCAAGTTACATCTTCACTCACAGAACTGGTTTATCATGTGACAAGGATAAGTATGACTTCTCTGTCATAAAGTAGAACATGAATTCATCCTTATACCATCCAAATCATCATATATATATATATTTGTGAAAAGATGAGAGACCTGGTTCTCACAATAGATATGATGGGTGGGTGGGAGAGTTATGCAAGCACTAGATGTTTAATAGAGACAATATTCTGCCATATGTATAACAACATTATTCCTTTAGAGCTCGTTATACATACAAATTTACAAATAGGCTGTCAAAATTCTGTCAGCTTCTTTTTAGTTGTTTAACATTCGAAAAATGCAGCAAATCCATATTCCTGCATGGATTCAATGTTATCATGTTCTACTGTAGGTCTGTTCAAGTATAAAGCCTGTCTCACTTTCATCAGTGTTGTACTTTGATGTCATCGGTGGTCAAATAACTTGCAGGACAGTAAACATATTGAGTGAGGTGGGCCAGCATCAAGCAAGATTAGGGTAAGGAGTTAAGCACCATGCTTTGTTGGTCTTAGTAGGTCACTGAAAGTCCAGCAGTTATTTGTTTGTTTCACTTGCTCCTTGTGCAGTGTAGAGAGATGGTCAGCAAGATAAGGTTATGCACCATCTCTTCACTTTTCTTCCTGTGGCAGGTTCATTTCATCTCATCCGCATGCTTTTAGATGAATACATCCTGCTTGCGATGGAGACCCAATTCCAGAATGATAAAGAACAAGAACTTCAGAATTTATTGGACAAATATATGAAGAATCTAGGTAACTGGGATTGGCAGTTTGCAATCTTTAGAGCTCTGGAGCCCAATGGGGTGTGCCTCTTTGTTTAATGTTAGGTGGGCAGATGCCAAAATTGAGTGAATATTTGTGTGCTGTTCAGCCAGTTATAGTTAATGGGAATTGGTATAGTTAGTTAGTAATTGGGAGCTGTTCCCTTAAGGGAATGCATCATGGTAAATGTAGTTAAGGTATCCTGGGAAATGTAGTCCATGTCATGTGGTCACATCTATAATCCTGATTGGTCACTGAATTGACCCTTGGTGGGTTGGGGGAGGTTTCTTCACTCTTGCTCGGACCCTAGCATCATGCTAGCGTCTCTCCTTTGGCTCCACTACTATGGGATAAAATATGGGATGAAAAGATTACTATCATTTTACACTATGATTTCAACTATGCAAAGAATTGGACATTAGATGCATCTCGACATAACTGTGAGTTACCTTGAGGATACCTAACATAATCCAATAAAAGAAATTTTGTATGGAAGAATTTGTAGAGTTATCTATCTGTCTTTATATTCAACAATTGAATCAAAGGACAGAATAATTTGGATACACTTACATGTTGGTCTAATAGAGGAATAACTGTCTCATACGTAACGCTGTTATGCTTGTTTCTTTAAATATCTAGATCATTCATTGTAAAGCATGTTAATAATATTCAAAATATTTGTTACAAAGCAAATTTTACTAAATTCAATGGCAGGCCCTGTTGAATCAATAGTTTTGGATTATACTATTATTATTTAGTTATAATTAAAATGTTAAAATCCAAATTATCTATACTCCAGTGTATTTATCCTCTTCAATAAATCACTACAAAAGTTTTTATTATTCCTTCAAATGAAGTTTTGACTTTGCTTCATGCAAGGGAAGAAAATGTATTTTTCATATAATAAGAAAATGCTTTCAAATTCTGTATGTTTTAGTATTCAGCTCAAGCTATTACATATTTAATAGGCCAGAATCATTAATGTGATTGAAACTAATAAATGTCCAATGCAGATGGTAGAAGAAAAATACTTAAAAAGTACAGAACAGAACAGAAAAACAGAGTTGGAAGGAGTTTTGGAAGTCTTCTAGTTCCCCATGTCAGACAAATGGTTGTCCAACCTCTTTTTAAAACCTTTAGAAATAAAAGTAGTTTATTCTTTTATGTTTCAAAGGATTTTTAAAAACTTTCTTAAAAAGAAATCGTATTTTCTAATAGCTAGAAGTTCAATCTGCAATACATTCTGTCCTTTATATCTGTGCTAAAAGGTAAAGATAAAGGTTCCCCTCATACATATGTGCTAGTCGTTTCCAGCTCATCTCCATTACAAGGCTGAAGAGCCAGCACTGTCTGAAGATGTCTCGTGGTGGTCATGTGGCCAGCATGACTAAATGCTGAAGGTGCATGGAACGCTCTTACCTTCCCACCAAAGTGGTCCCTATTTTTCTACTTGCATTTTTACAGGGTTTCGAACTGCTAGAACTGCTTTGGCAGAAATTGGGACAAGTAATGGGAGCTCACTCTATTATGCAGTGCTAGGGATTCAAACTGCCGAATTGCCGACCTTTCTGATCGACAAGCTTAGTATCTTAGCCACTGAGCCACCGTGTCCCTCACATCTGTGCTAATCATCTATTAAATGGCATCTTCATTACAACCTTTGTTATTGCAATGTTTAATCATGTACGGCACCTTAATAATTTACACTGTTTAACAGATCTGTTGTCATGGTAATTACTAGGTCTCATTCCTAAGCTGACCTGAATGCATTTCTATTCTATATGGTTTATGCATATTTCTTTAGGTGAAAGTCACTGTCACTACTTTCTAAATTACAACAGAAGTAGTATGGTACAGTCTCCTAAAACAGCCTTCACTAAATTAATGATGCCCAGGATACCAGATATCAACTTCCATCCTTTGCAACCCAAGATATCTGGAGGGCTTTAGGGCTAAGGAAGACTGCTCAATCCATCCAGGGATGATGCCAAATATCTTATCTGCCTGTGTGGGTGTCCATTATTTAGGCAAGGGAAAGTAAAGGATGAAACCTGTGTGACAACATCACCATGCAAATTGCTGCAACTTACATCCTTTGTGTAATATGTCAAGATGCAAGAATGCAACGGCAGCGTTTGTACTGTGATCACCATGCACAAACCATCCTTTGGGCATGGTATGCAGCAGATGTAGAAGATGGGTTTCTGCCTTGTTTCCTGGTCTATGTTTCATACTACCAAACCTTTTGTCATTTTCTCCAGATGCCAGTAAAGCCACCTTTACAGCATCCCCCAGTTCTTGTTTCCTAGCAAACCGCAACAAGGCTGCTCCAATTGCTAGTGATACCTCAGTGAAAAACGAATGCCTGATGGAGAAAACCTATTTCTCTTTATCATCCGGTCATCATAATAGCATATCGTCCGGTGCAAATCCCTGTCCTGCAGGAGACAGTGAGAATGTGCAACCCACAGGTAGGAAACACAAGGAGATGCTTGCTTTTGATCAGTTCTTTTTAAGTTGCCAAAAGATGTCACAGAAGAAGCACACTTGAACACCCATAACTATTGCTTATTGCAGAGGTGGTATTCAGCAGGTTCTGACCAGTTCTGGAGAACCGGTAGCAGAAATTTTGAGTAGTTCGGAGAACTGGCAAATACCACCTCTGACTGGCCCTGCTCCCATCTATTCTCTGCCTCCCAAGTCCCAGCTGATCAGCTGGGTTTTATTTTGTTGCCCTGCACAGGAGAACAGAGCTGGAAAGCAGGTTAGTGGGATGGGGAGGGAATTTTGCAGTTACCTTCCTCCAGGAGTGGGGTGGGAATGGAGATTTTATAGTATCCTTCCCCTGCCACACCCACCAAGCCCAGAAAACCACACCCACAGAACTGGTAGTAAAAAAAAATTGAATCCCACCATTGGCTTGTTGCCTGGTTGTAGAAAAAAAAAATCTTGTTTGTTTTCCCAGGTCAGACCGACCTCTCTCAGAGCACTGCCCACCTTATCACTCCACCCATTTCTCCTGCCATGGTCAGCCGAGGAAGTGTCATCAACCAGGGACCGATGGCTGCCAGGCCATCCAGTGTAGGTTCGTCATTATCTGCACACTCGCACTGCTCTTCTTATTCTGAATACCTCTACCCGACGGTGCCACAAATGAACCAGAACATGTATGGAGCCAGTGCCACTTATCCAGCCATGTTCAGGGCCCAGACTCATCCACCTTCGGGATCCTGTCCCCAGAGGGCAGAATCTAACTTTTGTCCAGCAGCCAATGAGCAGCAACGTTTCTCCCGGGACTACTTCAATAGCAGTTGTGCTGTGTCTTCATATAGTACCCATTCTCTTCCTCTCTATGGATCCTCTTCAGCTGCACAGGACACACATTGTATGCAATTTGTGAACAATGGGAGTTGCAGTTTTATGAACAACACCACCACAAGTTCTTGTCAAGGATCATCATATTCCACAGCTGCTTCTAACGGTATTAATCCTTATCAAGAATTTCACTTTATTGTCTTTGATCTATAGTTTAGTCTAGTTTCCTTGAAGTCCTTGGAGTAGTTCACATGTGGATTTTAACCTTGTGTGAGCATGTGCAGATATATTTAAAGTCACTCATTTAGCGAACAGTTAATGCAGAGATATGATAAAAGTTGAGAAAAGAATAAGAGTTAATGGATCGATTTCATGGGTGTATGTGAAAATCTAGCCAACAGATACATTTTCAGGTAATTTTGCAGGAGGCTGCAACAGCCACAACTATGAAAATAAGTCTCCATCAGTCAGCACCATGACAATGTCAAAATGTTGCTGAATGAGTAGATATTAAACAAGGATTACCTGTACTAGAACAGGGCTGTCAAACTCCTGGCCCACGGGCCAGATGTGTCCATGCACTGGCCACGACCAGGCCCGGTTTAGCAAAAGGGGGGAAAGTCCTGTGGATTAAAAACTGGATTTTGTTAGCCATGACTTTAATATTTTAAATGGTTTAAATGGTTGCCAAATATCTCCTGACTGATACAATGAATGCTGTAATTAAAATCTTTCCAAAAGGATACATCATGGCAATTCCTTTCTGCTAGAAAGTGTATTTATCTATATTCTGTAAAAATTCTTTTCTTCTAATATCAAAATATAAGAATATTATATATTTAATATATATTATATTTATATAATATACCTTATCTATAAATTAAGAAATGTAAGTATTATATAAATATAAGAATGATTACATCTTTATCTGAAGAGCATCTTTGTCCCATATTTATAACAATACAAGGGCACATACACTGCAACATGAAAGTTTAACTTTATTTTTTAAAATTATTACACTAATTCATTAGCTTTATTTAAAAAAACCTAAGATTTACAGTGTATGTGCTTATACAATATTGTCTGTTGTTCTAGATGTTTACTCACTGATTGTCAACCTCCTGTTAACAGGGTTCTATGGAAATAATGCAAACTATTCAGATTCCCACAGATTTGAGTCATTGGTAGATCAGCACGTTTCTGTCATCAGCAGCGTAAGCAGCATTCGGCCATTGCCTCCATACAGTGACATTCATGATTCACTCTGCATCCTAGAGGATACAGGAAGGAAACAGGCAGCATCTTATTATCCAGATGCCTCAATCGCTGGTCAGAACTCTATAAGTAAGTAAAACTAAAAAAAGTGTTGGTGTGGCACAGATGACCTTTTCTTTTGAATTCATGCCTAGAATAAATGTGAAAGGGAGGAATGGTGCAGTGGCCTAGAGGTGGAACTCTCACTTCACAATCAGGAGGTGTGAGTTTGATCCCAGGTAGAGGCAGATATTTCTCTCTCTGGGCACACTGAGAATATATCTGCTGAAAAAAAACTCTGCATTGGTGACAGGAAGGGCATCCAGACAGTAAACACTCAGCTCCATTCAGTTGCCCAGCAAGGGATTATGAGGTCGTTAAAAGAGGACGATGACTATGAAAGGGAGAAGAACTGTGTTGGTTAACCAAGCTCACAATCTCCATACGGTAGTCAAAGTTACCTAATAATTCCTTAACTGTTAAAATGAAGAATAAAAATGCTAAGGATATCCAGATTTAATTAGTATTGAAACAGAAGAATAAATTATGCTGCAGATTGGTATTGGTAGGATATACAATAAGGTAAAGATAAAAGTTCCCCTCACGCATAAGTGCTAGTCATTTCTGGCTCTAGGGGGTGGGGCTCATCTTCATTACAAAGCGGAAGAGCCAGCGCTCTCCTTCCCACCAAAGTGGTCCCTATTTTTCTACTTGCATTTTTACATGCTTTCGAACTGCTAGGTTGACAGGATATTATAATAAAAGTATGCAAATCTGCTTAAAAGCCCCCTTAAAAATGATATTCAATAAGATATATTTGTTCTGTTTTAATCAAGTCCCTTTGCTATGTTAAATCTTCTCTATGCTTCACCCAATAGAAGACTTTAGCAACCTAAAGAATTTCTAAAGCCAAAACAGAGTTTAGTGGTGGCTGCAGAACAAAGAAACGATATTTTAATACACAGACTCACACCAGCAAAGTTAGTGACATATAAGGATGACCCTTTTGCTTATGTGTCCTCCCTGAGATCATTACATAAACACATTTTCCTGTTTCAAAAACGACTTGGGAATTATTAAAACTGTTACAGGTAGTCCTCAACTTACAGCAGTTCATTTAGTGACCATTCAAAGTTACAACGGCATTGGAAAAAAGGGACTTTTTCACAGTTACAACCTTTGTAGCATCCCCATGATCATGTGTATCAAAATTCAGATGCTTGGCAATTGACTCAGACTTATGACCATTGCATTGTGTCCCAAGGTCAAGTGAACACCTTTTGCAAAGCTTTTGAGAAGCAAGGTCAACGGGGAAACCAGATTCACTTAACTGTGGCTAGCAAAGATTGTAAAATGGGGCAAAACTCACTTAACCAATGTCTCGCTTAACAGAAATTTTTGGGCTCAGTAATGGTGGTAAGTTGTGGACTCTCTGTAGTAGATTACCTTCCCCAATTCAGTGCATAATTAATGTAAATCTTGACATACCAGGCTTTAAGAAACAAAATCCAGATTGGAGGATGATCTTGCTAGACATATTTAAAGCTCTGGAATCTTTTCCTTTTTATTTCTTTTTTAGAAGCACCCCAAAGAATAACTCTTGTCATTTTCTTTGTAGCTTCAGAAATGCTGCCTGCTCTGCCTACAAGTTCCTCTCAATGCATGTATGGCCATTCTCGACAGTGCCCTTCTCAGGAACCAATGGACTCTTCTGGACAAGCTAACAATGAGATGGTGTCATCCTTACCACCGATTAATATTGTCTTCATGGGAACTGCTGCTGGAGGCACCTGATTTTTTAGTTCTCGCTGACTTCCTCCACTTCACAACTTTTTCCATCAGTTGTTTTTCATCCAAATTTCATCCAATTTTACAAATTTGTTTTTGAAGAGCATCCAGAAAGATTTTACAGTTAAATAATATTGAACTACTTCTGAATCCGAGTGCAAATTGTTTCTTGTATGTAAATGAGAATATACTTGCAAAGTGGTTTTGGGGAGTCTCTTCTTCTTGCTGACTGGGTTTAAATGCACATCTAGAGAATGTTCATATTTCCTCTTTCCTCTCATTGCAATTTAAAACAATCATTAAACAGTGTTTTATCCTTCCAGCGAAATCAATAATTCCTCTTTCTCTCGTCACCATTTTGCTGTCTTTTCTCTTTGATACACAATATATATTCTGGAAACTCTTTGGATGGCACAGGTGCACCTGATGGTGGTATCTACTCCAGACTTAGAAACATAAGATGCACTTTCATGGTACATTTGATGAACTTTCCCCAGTCCAGCACCCTCCTGATGGACAGGAATATAAAATCAATTTTAGATGGGACAGGAATATTAAACAACTTTAACCTGCCTGGCAAGGATTTAGGAAGTTGTTTGGCAGATTTTAAAGCCACCAAATTAAGACATCCTATTTTAAATCATTTCAAAATACTAAGACAAAGCATATTTTATGATTTTTGTTCCCAAGCAACAACCGTTGCCTTTCTTCCCATGCAGTGGTGGGATTCAAAAGTTTTTACTACTGGTTCTGTGGGTGTGGCTTGGTGGGCATGACGGGAAGGATACTGCAAAATCTCCATTTCCACCACACTCCTGGGGGAAAGTTACTGCAAAATCCCATTCCCTCCCCACCCCACTAACCTGCTTTCCAGCTCTGTTTTCCTGGGCAGAACAACAAAAGAAGACCCAGCCGATCAGCTGGGACTTGGGAGGCAGAGAATAGATGGGGGCGGGGCCAGTCAGAGGTAATATTTGCCGGTTCTCCAAACTACTCAAAATTTCCCCTACCGGTTCTCCAGAACTGGTCAGAACCTGCTGAATACCCCCTCTTTTCCCATCCTATCAGTTAGGCCTGAATTACCTTGTTTCATCAGTTCTCCCCATGTCATGCCTTAAGGAAAGGGCAGTGGTGAACCACTTCCAAAAAAATATTGCTAAGAAAACTATCGTAATAATTAATTACAAATAGGCAAAATAGTAATAACCATGATGGTGATGTATGGTGATGATGTAAGGATCCTGGGTAACTACCTATGTGTACTTTATTTTATGTTACATGATTCTAATATTTTGTAATCTATGGTTGTTATGGACATGGCAACTGTAGTTCTCCCGATCTGCTGATTTTTAGAACTTTCCTTGTTAGACAGACCTTCTAATCAAAATATGTGTGGTTCACTGTGATTTCATGATTTCATTTTATTGTTATCCCACATTTTGCCCCTTTTCACTTCCTCTCTTAGTCAGGATGATTCACTTCCTCTCTTGGCCAGGATACCTTAGTCAAAAAGATTCAAAACAGATTGAATTTCTCTCTGGATACTTCATCAGGCATTGCTTTGAATGGACTTAGCAGTAGAAGATATGGTTTTGATATCAATAGCTCTCCACTATTATTTACCCAACACTCTTATTGTTGTAAAGACACAGAATATTTTTAAAAGTGTCAACATATTGGTGTAGGAGCTTCATTAATTTGACAGTAGCAGTACAAGTTACTCTTACCTAACAGTAGAACCTAAGTTTTTACAATAAAGTCATCTTATTATTACTTAACACACAACAAAATTATTGTTATGAATATTTACCTGAGTGAATTTGACAATCAAATTCAGTTTTCGATTTGAACTTTTGTTTCTGTCTATATAAAATAATTTTATGACAGAATTTAGGAGTTTCTCAGATTTCTATGGAGGGTTAGGATTTTTCTACTATTTCTAAACATTCTTCAAGAAGATTGTATGCCAATAGACTTGCATTGCTGTCTATATATTGTTCTACAGAATATTCAATGGCAAGTTGTCTTTTTTCCTTTTTTCAAAATTTAAAACTTCATGAATCTTATTTGCTTTACCACTCAATCCACATTCCCCAACCTCTGAATAAGTAAAATGAATATACTTGTGCATTGTTTTTTAAAAGCCACTTCTCTCTATTTATTAAAAGCAGTACTCTTTTGTCTTGTATATACTTTCAATTTTGTAAAATCAAAGAAGCACTAGTTAATAGTTAATATTCGTTTTTATTTATTTGAGTTGTAGAATTTGCAATTCTGTTTGCCAGGTTGTCAAATCTATGTGTTCTACCTCCTACATAAATGTTTACAAGGCCAGTTTTTCAAACCCCCAAAACGAAATTTATATTGTCTAATCTTATGATTAAAAATCTCATTTCAAGTATTAATTGAGTCACAACCTCATTTGTCCTTTTGCCATTCTCTAATTGGTTCAGCCTCTTTTTCACGTGATAAAGAAAATACCAACTTTGCATACTGAGCTTGCTTGTAATTGTGGTACATTTACCACACCTTAGAAATTGCAAAATTGCAAAGATGCACAAAAGATATTAAGAACACGTTTATGCTCATTCTGAGCTGTATATTAATACATTTCAGTTTCCACAATGTTTCATTTCATGTTTTCCACAGCCATTTCAGTTTTCCACAGCCTGATATGAGATAAGATATTTACTAGTTATCAAATATACAAGTGACACAACAATGGTTAAATCTCAGAAGAAGCATAGAGCAGAATATAGTTATTTGGATTAAATATAGTATTTAATCTAAAATATAGACACTAGGATATATAACATTATTTCACAAACTGATATATATTAAGCATATAAAATGCCAGGTATTTCACAAATACAGTAGTATTTTAGAATAACCCTGCAAAAGACAACTGAATATAACAAAAAGATTTATTCTACTAAACTATTGGCACAAGGAGATCTGCTTCCTGTCCTCTCAACTTAGTTGATTATTACCCTTGATCAAATAAAAGGCCACATGTTCAGACTGCCCTGGTGCTCTGGTTGCTATAGAAAAGACAGATACATAGTTAGATTCTGCTTTTAAAAAGAGATTGATTTTGGGAGCTTTTTTGTATTCATTGTGTGCTGTATATCTTTGCACGAGAACCTCCTCATTGGATCAGAGGGTAAAAAAGAAAAAAAAAATAACACAAAACTCATATGTGCAGAACAGTGGCCAAGCAACGGTATAGAAATAAATACCTATTAAATTGAAATGCAGAACATGCATTGATTCTATTTTATGTTAATATCATTTTCACACCTTCCAACCCAACATAAATTTGGGGGGAAATATATATATATAAGAGCCCTTATAAGTAGAATAACTCTCTGAAAACTGAACTGAACCAAATTTCAGAGGGTTAAGTTGCACAAGATTGAATTTAAAATTAGTTGGTCTAGGTGGGGAATGTACTCCCCCAAAGAGAATCCAGAAAAGAATTCCTCAATGGATTTTTCTTTTTTAAAAAATATATTCATTTTATTTCTAAAGCCACCCAATCACTAAGCAATTCAAGACCATGTACAAAAGTGCACTACCCCATCCAGTAGTGGGATTCAATATTTTTTACTACTGGTTCTGTGGGAATGGCTTGGGGGTGTGTGGCATGGCTTAATGGGCATGGCGGGGGAAGGATATTGTAAAATCTCCATTCCCACCCCACTCCAGGGGAAGGTTACTGCAAAATCCCCATTCTCTCCCCGCCCCACTAACCTGCTTTCCAACTCCGTTCTCTTGTGCAGGGCAACAAAAGAAGACCCAGCTGGGACTCGGGAGGCAGAGAATAGATGGGGTAGGGCCAGTCAAAATTCCGCTACTGGTTCTCTGAACTACTCAAAAATTCCGCTACCAGTTCTCCAGAACTGGTCAGAACCTGCTGAATACAACCTCTGACCCCATCTCAATTTTGGGATGGCCTGACTGAACAATGTTTCCTATAGATAATTCTCACCCACTACAAAAGCAATGTCATGGTGCACATTCCTACAACAGTTTCAAAATAAATAAAAATTTTCCTCCTTCAAAAGTTGCTGTCCTATTCACTTGCAATGAATTATTTTGTTCTAGACCAACTCTACAGTTTGATTGGCTACTTCACAGATTCAGGAATGCTCCCTCAACTGAATCAATGGGTTGTCATTCTATAACTTCTACAACTAATCTAAGCAACGGTGTTGCAAATTTATGTATGTTTTATATTTTTATTCTGCCTTTAGTACTTTATACATCAATCAAGGCAGTGGACATATCAATGCTCCTTCCTTCTCCTATTTTGCCCACAACAACAACCCTGTCAGATGAGTTGAGCTGAAAGAGAGTAATCAATCAGCTGTTTTTTCACATGCCTAAGGTAAAACTAGAACTCAGTCTCCTGGTTGCTAGGCCAGCATCTTAACCACTATACCAAACTGGTTCTTAATGTGTAGTGATTATAACTTTTGCTTAGCATGTAGAACCCAAAATTTGCTTCTTTCTCTTTTTTTAACTACTATATTCCTTTTCCTCAGCTATCCACTTTTCCAGAGGCTTTATAAAAATAAATAAATGGATGGATGCACTGTTTCTTCATTTCTCCAGTTGACTTTTTCTTTTTTAAAAAAAACAAAAACAAAAGCCAAGTCAAAAAATAAATAGTTCAGAGAAAGAAAAATAATAATTTTTAAAAGTTACATTCTATATGTAAGGCAAATGTTATAATCATTGTACTAATGCAGAATGTTTGTATATGGTTTATTAAGAATTGTGGCCTCTAAGAATATATTGAATATATCTGCCATTAGATATATTTACTTGTAATTAGATAAAGGAATGTTTATGTATGGATTTTAGAAGATCATTTAAAAATAGTCTAATGTCTCAGGCTCTGTTGGCATACAAGTATGATGCTTGCTAATAAGGCTGGAACATAGAAAGACAGGAAAAAAGACAGCAAAAGCATCATATCTGGGCAAATTTAGAAAAACAATGGCCAAACTGCAAAAAGGTTATACAGAAAAACAACAGGGCATCCTTGTTTTCCTTTTTAAATGAAACTTACATAAAAGTTCCC